GTAATGAATGTCACACAAATTCCTTCCCCAGAAGTGCATAATTGCTGACATGGTGATGCAATTAATGTGTAATCTTCTGGTGGTCCTTGCAAAGTCCTGAGGTTATAAATCACCACAAGGAGGTGAAAGCCAAGATGAAGCAATATTCCCACTGCCTTGGAACCGTACCTATGAAATCAGGAATATGTGAGGGCACTTGCAAAAGGTTGCGGAAAATGGAATTGAAAGCGTATTTTATTTGCGTGCAAAAACAATTCTAAAATTCATGCATAGGTTTTTTTTTTGATCATATGCATATGAAGCTCATACTTTGTAATTCCATTTCCATGAACTGTTTTGAAGTTTCTTGAAATGCTCTTGTCAGAATGCATTCCCCAGAATTATATTATGCTTAAAATTGTTAAAGCTTACCCCAAAACCCACATTTATTTGACTTCTTTTTGAAGTCTATGTTCAGGGGCAGGTGTTTGCCTCAGCAGTTAAATTGCCACTTTGGATGCCCACATCTCGTGTCAGAGTGCCTGGGTCAGAGTGCTCTGCTTCCAGTTCCAGCTTCCTGCTGACGCGTGCACTGGGGGCAGCAGGCGATGACTCAAGTACTTGGGTCCCTGTCACCCACATGGGAGACCCGGATTGAGTGCCCGGCTTCTCACCTCTGCCTGACCCAGCCTCAGCTTGCTGTGGGCATTTAGTGAGTGAACCAAGAGCTCTGTCTCTGTTTCTCTGCCTTTCAAATAAAATAAAAATAAAATAAATAAAATCTGTGCTCAAAAGCAACTTCTTCTGAACCCTACCCAGTAACGTTTTGTGCCTGCCCCTTTTGTGGGATATTATTAATAAAAATGACACCTGGTGGAGAAGCTTGGAAGTGACAGTGCAGGAGGTGTTGCCAGGGGCTTTTGTGGTGGTGACAAAGAGAGCACCTGCTCAGGGCTGCGGGGTCTCCCCACTGACAGCTGCACAGGTTTCCCCACTTGCCTCCTTCCTTCAGTGTTTCAAAGGGCTTGCTTGTTTTCATTTCTTTATTTTCATTTTATTTGAAAGAGAGATTAAAAGAGCTTCCATCTACTGGTTCACTCCCTCAGGCTAGTTTACTGTCAGGGCTGGGCAGGGCTAACATCAGGAGCCGGGAATGCAGCCCAGGCCTCCCACATGGGTTAACAGGAACCCAAGTACTTGAGCCAGCAGCTGTAGCACTCGGGGGGTGCTTTTTACTTCCTGTGTTTCCACTCTGAGACTGCCTCCCTTCTTGACCCTCTTTTTCTAGGCTTTCTCCATGGCTCCTTTCCACCTGGCCACTCTTTCTGGCACTTTCCTCCTCTGCCACCCTCCTCTTAAATCTCAGCAGCTCCACCACCCCAAGTTTCCTCGTCATCTCTCCAGAGCCACGGGGTGAAATAGCAAATGCGTGGCCATTGAACGCCTACACGAGTGTTTTTGTCTTGCAGCAACACTGCCTGCCAGGTGTGTGATCAGGATCATTGACTCCACCTGCCGGTGCTTCCCTTTCGGTTTCTGTGCCAGAGATGATGACACTGATCTCCCAGAATTCATGCAGCTCCTGCTATAATATATTTACAGGTTTGGAACCTAGTAGGAGCTCACTAAATGTTGGTTCTCTTCTTTCCTCTAACATGTCCTTAAAATTACATTCATTTTATTGACAACTTTAATTGGATAACTCCCCAGCAGTTAGCTGTAAACTCTTGTGGTCTATGAAATAGAGTTTAGTTGCTGCACAGCAGTCTAGTGTAGGTATTTAAACGCAGTGGGGGATGCCAGACTGTTGGGGTGATAATTCCCCTAAAGAGTTTGGTCTAGCACTGTTTAGGTTTCTCTTGATTTTGCCACAGACGGAAACTTGTTTTAGAAGAGGCTTTAAGAAGGAAGGAACAGGCTACCCTTCTGTGTTGTGTCTGCCCTGCCAGGCATTATCTGGAGAACATCCAGGGCCCAAGAGTGCTTACATTATGCTTTGCCTGCGAGGTTACCCCAAAGAGATACTTGTAGTGGGGACATTGATCTAGCAAGACGAGGCTTTGGTCTCAATCTCAAAGCAGAGCTCCGTTACAGTAGGCTGAAGACATGACAGGCGGCTTTCTCCTAAGGGAGGTGGGTTTCAATTGCCTGAAAGCCAAGTCCTCTTTTAGGCAAAATCAGATTCCCGTAAGTCAGTGTGTGGTTGTTGGGGGAGGCAGGGGTTACCCTTGGAAGCTAAGGGTCTTAGACGTTGGTTATGGAAACGCTTCCTAAGCAGTCTGCCCTTCCCAGTTCTAATCGCCACTGGTCACCCACACTACTGATAAACTGTCTTTTTTTCTTGGTGTCAGCCTTCAGTGGGTTTGCATTGTTCTCCAGTTCAAAGGGCAGCACAAGGGGCAGTGAAGACCCCTTGTGCTCTGGCCCCAGGGGACATGGGGAGACGCCCTGTTTGCCATGTTCTCCAGGCCCTTGCCTGCAGCTTCACTGGGCACACACTGCTCACCTGGCCAGTGCATTTCCTTTGCTGCTACACTCTGTCTGCCCCGATTTCCCTTCCTCCTCGCTTCGGGATTCAGCTCAGTTGCTGTCTCCTATGGGAGGCCATCCTTGGTGCTCCCTTGCAAAATTGTTCTTTCTTCTTCTGTGGCTTTGCAATATGCTGTCTAAGCACTGCATTTCTTCAAGGTTGGAGGCAGTTCTGACCGTCTTCCCCATCAGCATATATACTGCAGCCCTGGTGATAAGAAAGATGTCTTACTGATATTGTATTCTTTTTTCCTTATTTGTATTTATTCAATATATTGACAGATGCATATTAAATACTCCATATAAGTCTGTTGACTTGAGTGGTTACTGTAGACATAACTTCAGATTCCCATAGATTCCCACACACTTCTGAGGTGTTTTCTTTAAAATGGGGACTAAATGAAAAGGAAAAAATCCGGGCCGGCGCCGTGGCTCACTAGGCCAATCCTCCACCTTGCGGCGCCGGCACCCCGGGTTCTAGTCCTGGTCAGAGCGCCGGATTCTGTCCCAGTTGCCCCTCTTCCAGGCCAGCTCTCTGCTGTGGCCAGGGAGTGCAGTGGAGGATGGCCCAAGTGCTTGAGCCCTGCACCCCATAGGAGACCAGGAGAAGCACCTGGCTCCTGGCTTCGGATCAGCGCAGTGCGCCGGCCTCAGCACACAGGCCATGGCGGCCATTGGAGGGTGAACCAACGGCAAAAGGAAGACCTTTCTCTCTGTCTCTCTCTCTCACTGTCCACTCTGCCTGTCAAAAAAAAAAAAATCCTTCTTTTCTGTAATAGTGATTTCTATTCCAAGGAAGAGTCACTTGCACAATACTAATCTTTTGTCTTGATAAAATGTCATCGCACTTGATGCAATGGAAATCTATAAGAATAGTTTTACATGCCATTAAAAGCTTTTTCTTGCAGTTTAATAAGAAAATGTTTTAGGATGGCGCCGTGGCTCACTAGGCTAATCCTCCGCCTAGCGGCGCCGGCACCCCGTGTTCTAGTCCCAGTCGGAGCGCCGGATTCTGTCCCAGTTGCCCCTCTTCCAGGCCAGCTCTCTGCTACAGCCCGGGAGTGCAGTGGAGGATGGCCCAAGTGCTTGGGCCCTGCACCCCATGGGAGACCAGGAGAAGCACCTGGCTCCTTGGGTTCGGATCAGTGCGGTGCGCTGGCCGCAGCGGCCATTGTGGGGTGAACCAATGGAAAAGGAAGACCTTTCTCTCTCTCTCTCTCACTGTCCACTCTGCCTGTCAATAAAAAAAAAAAAAAGAAAATGTTTTATAACACATGTATACACTGAAACAGCTGAGATTGTGACATGTCTTTATATTTTCACAAGCAGAATAATTTTGTGATTCATCGTCATCCTAACATTTGAGTGCAGCCCAGAGTTTCTGAATTGACATTTGTTTCCCTCTCTGAAAGGTTTTTCAGAGGTTGATAGTATGACTTCTGTTTCCAAAAATCCAAAGTCCAAAAAGGCACAAACCCACTCTTGGAAAACCCAGGGTACCACTGAGTTAGCCCTCTAAAAACTGAAGCAGCCTGTGCCCAGCTGTGATTGTCCTACTGCCCACCCATGCTGTCCTTTGCTGGCTGGTTCTCAGCTTGGATACTTGCAAAGGATAAGAAGGGGAGAGCTAGGGACTGCGGAGCTCTGTGGGCACTGATAGCTGAGCATGTCGTAGCCCCGGAGGAACAGTCTTGAGTCTCATCTGTTCCAATCCTCTCTTCGTGGCCTTCGTTGAAAATTTGGAACCTTTCAAATATAGGTGAAGGAATTTCTATGCTACTAAATAAAAAAAAATAATAACAATAATAATGAGCTCACAGCAAGGAAGTAGTTTACCCGTGTGTGTGTGTGTAATATATGCAGTTATAAAAATCCCAAACTGAAAATAGAATCATTTCTGTTTCCTGAGGATGGAATCCATTAATAGTATGATCACCAGAGTTCTAGTCACCTCGCTGCTGTCACTTTTTAACAAATACTTATGTACTTATTTCTTTGAAAGTAAGGCTACACAGAGAGCGAGAGAGAGAGAGAGGGAGAGAACTCTAATTCACTCCCCTAAATACCTAGAACAGCCTGGCCTGGCCAGGCTGAAGCTGGAAGCAGGGAACTTAGTCTGGTTCTTACGAGTGGGTGACGGGGCCCAAATCCTTGAGCCTTCACCTGCCGCTGCCTCCTCAGATCTGCGTTAGCAGAAGACTACAGTCAGGAGCAGAGCCAGGGCGTGAACCCAGGCATTCTGATACGGGATGTGGTTTCCCACCCGACAACTCAAACACTACGCCAGATACCCGCCCCATGCTGTCACTTTTGATTGAAGTCAGCAGAGATGTGTTTTGGCAAATCTATTCATAATTTGTCTTTCCTTGCAGAGCTCTCTGTAATTGTGTTGCCCATCAGGGAGTTGGTTGGAGCTTCTGTATTGACAGTGTGCGGTGATTGATGACTACCAGTGTCTCGTTAACATTTCCTCCCCTCTCTTCAACCCACAGAGCAATGCTAAGAAGAGCTTTTTTGGCTTAAAGAATTAAAAGGAAGAACAACTTTGGATAAGACCTTCTGCGAAGGTAGGAGTTTGTCTTCTTAAAACGTTCAACTTTGTAACCGTGAAAGAAGGGAATTATACCATAAAACGATGTGATTATGTAATATTATTGTCTTATTTAATAGCGTTCAATCCAGAGAATATGATTCAAGACAGGGAGTAGGAATACAGATGCAAAAACATTAATCATATTACTTGTCAAAGAGGTTGGATCAGATATGTAGAGAAGAAAACCAGCCCTTCATGTCCTCTCATAGTGCAGTAGAAGAGTTTTGTTTTACAAAATCATGACTCATAAAGGCCAAAAAGCAGCAGAGAGGAAGTCAGGATCTACAGAGTAAATGTACAAGAGAAGAATTTCCTTTGAAGATATTCACATGTCACACATCTGAGTACATCCATCCATAAATGACTTTTCACTAAGAAGTCCAAGTAATAAAAAGTTGGTTCTGAACGTTTACACATCACTTGGTGCTTTCTGCTTTGTAAGTTCCTTCCCCACCCCCACTGCCCACCCATTGCCATTTGTGCCCCTGAGAATCACCAGCTCTCCAATGGACCCGGCCAGGCTGTGGTGCCTTGAAAGGCCGTCTGTTATGGCACTGAACTTGATGAAGAATATCTTCAGTGGCGATCTGGAACACAGTTCAAGAGCATTGTATCTCAACCAATAAAGGCTTTCTTAAGGAATATGAAAGCATGATTGTTCCAACTTTTAGTCCTTACTTCATAGGTTTCAGAAAAGAAGATTCTATCAAAGATTTTGAGGTGGTAAAATCCTTCTGGGAAGCATGTTTTCCCTTCTGGAGAATTAGTGAGTTGATCCATTGAGATGTCGTTTTGTAATTGGGAGGAAATGATTCATTCCTCAGCTGAATTCACTTCCATTGTGCTGTACTGGAGCTGATTTCCTATGACTCGTTCTTAGGGTGTTTCCAAATGTCATCAGAAAGTCCTACATCAGTAGCCTGGAAACAAAGAATGTTGCTTTGTAAGTCAGATACGTAGCACACATTTCCTCCTTGAATAGTGAAAATTTGAAGACAAGCAAAATTAAGTTAGGTGATTGTGACCAATGCCAAAAGAGCCTTAATTTTGGATAAGGGGCTCTTTGAAGAGAAAACTGCCTTGGTAAATGGAAAATGACGTTTTGTGGAGTTTTAATGTACCCCTCTGTCTGACAGTTGTCTATATGTTCATCAAATAAAGAACAGCTGAAAGGTAAAGCAGTGCACTTGTCAACTCTGTCCATTCCGAGAGGGACGTGGATGATGTATACGCCGGATTGGAATGGATAGAAATTGGTAATTAGTAGGAATGGTGTTAAGTAGTGTGGCTTACCATTATCAGCAGTAAGCTAGGTCAGATTCTATGGATGATATATTGTGTGGTACCTACGAAAGGTAGAAAGGAAGAGTGGGAGATTTTTTTTTTAAATGTGGTTTCTCCCGGAGAGAGAACACAGGAAGAGAAGGCAGGCAGAGGGACCTCCTCCAGAAAGCCTGGTCCCTTTTAAGGTGGCAGCAATGGATGGGACCCAACTGAGGGCGCTTCCCTACTTTGTAGCCCTCCCTTGGGTGACCCCTGGATGGCTCCATTATTTTTTTTCTTTCTTCCATTTCCCACCAGACATTTGATTTAAAACCTTGGGCTTGTAGAGCAACAAAGGAAAAGGTTCCCTTCTCTCTGACTGGTCTTTCTGGTTAGCCACTTGTGAAGTGACTGCGGGGGACTTTGAGTTGTCAGGTGCTAACAGAACCACGGAAATAGGAAATATCTGGCTTGGTCCCTGTGAATGGTTTCCTGGGGGCAGAAACCAAATGCCAAGTGCCCTCCCTAAATCTTTCCTTTGCCTCACAAAGACTTGCTGCACTTTCCTGAAATTCTAAAGCAAGCTTGTATTCAGCCTGTCCCCAGGCTATTCAAGAGCTCAACCTCTAACATTAGAATGGAAAAGTTGTGGGGTTTTTTTTTTTGGTTTTTTTTTTTGTTTGTTTGTTTGTTTGTTTTTTTGCAGCTAGTTAGAGTCCTCCTCTCCCCACCCAGAAGTCTTTCCCAGGACCACAAGTGTCCTGTATCCTCTGGGAACGATGGCAGTGGCCAGAAACTGTGGCCTGTGGCGGGCCGGGTTCTGCTGCCATCCCTCATTCTCTCATCCTTCCCTGTGCAAGTGCGTGTGTCGCGCGTACCAGCTGTGCGCCCGTGGGTTGTGCACTTGCTTTATGGAAAGTCTGCCTTCCACCGGCCTTGGGTACTTGAGCTGCTATGCAGGACTTGATATCGTCCAGTCTTATTCATAATTGTAGATATTAATAATCCTCTGAGTTCTTGCTGTCTATGCAGAGAAGAATTCTGAATATCAGCTCAAGTGGGTCAGGTGGCATGGTCAGTACTGAACATTTGATTCAGTGAGAGGAATGCAAAGGAAGGTGAGGGCTTTATCTAGGGGAGAAGGAAGTCTGGAAGCTAAGTTGGGTCCATCCGAGGCAGAGAGCAGGCCGGGAGCCACGTGGAGCAAGCGTGCGGGCAGGAAAGCAGAGGCAGAGCAGTAGCCAAAAGGCCGCAGGCCCAGAGGTGCAGAGATGCAGGGCAACAAGGGAGGGGCCCACTGTGCTCCAGGCCTTTTATTTACTCCCAAAGGGGAGTGGTTACATAGTCTGATTGGCAGGTAGGCGTCCAGGTGAGGTCAGGCAGGGGCCTGGGATCACACAGGAGGCTGGTGGTGGAGGGCGTGGTCTTCCAGCTCACAAATCTAATCAATTAATCCTATCTGCCTGCCTATATCAGACTCAGTGGAATGCCCACAGTCAGCCAGAGTGAAAAGGCCACCCAGGGAGCTCTTGCTGTCCATTGGCTTTCTGCCCTGGCCACATTTGTAACCTTTTGGCTTTTTCTCTTCTTTACTTTTATGCCAAATTTTCTCCTGTACCATTGGCTTTCCTTTCTTCATTTCCTTCAGTGCTTTTTTTCTTTCTTTCTTGCAAGTTCCTCTTTGGTGATTGAATGCATACAGGTGTGCATTAGGTAAGTTTGGTATTGATTGTAACCATAATGAGTCTGAGAAATAATGGCCATGCTACACCTTAAAAGCATGTGCCCATTTGGCATACTCTGGGAACAGAAGAATCTGGCTGGTCATTGCAATGGTTTACCGATAGGGTTTCATTAATGACTTGAAAGCTGTTTTTTCTTCCGTAGACTTGCAGTATTTTTTTTTCACAATGATGCATACATCTTAGCAGTAGGCTAATCATCTTCTGAGTAGACAATAAAACTGACAAGAGCTGAAAGATTTTATCTTATAATTAAGTATATTTGTAAATGAGAACCATATTTTATTACAAAGTCCAAATAGGAATATAAATTTAATTCTCTTTAACAGTAAAAAGGCTTATCAAAATCTTGTCCTGTTACCAGAGAACTGCAGGGTCCTTGTCTTCGCTCAAGAAAGAATTCAGGCGTGAGACAGAGAGTAAGTGGAAAGCAAATAGCAAGGTTTATTAGGGCAGGGACATCTGTAAGAACGGATGGGCACCTTTCCAGACAGAACCTGAGAGAGAATGCCCAGTTGCTCAGACTGGAGGAGAGCGAGTTTACATGATTGAGTGGGCAGAGTACACCTGGCCAGGCCAGGTGGGCAGCTCAGCAGAGAGGCAGAGGGCTGAGTGCGAAGTCCGGTTGAGGCTGGGGGTTTTAAGGGGATGGGTCTTGCCTTCCTGCTTCTTCTCCTCCTGGAACAAAGGACTTTTTGGATGTAAATACGAAAAATTCCTATCTGAGTTTTCCCCCAGAGGAGGGATGGTTATAGGGTAGAAGGGGCCGGCCGTTTGAAGTGCAGATACTGGGCTGCACCTGGAAGGTTATGGGATGACTTTGAGATGCATATGCTGGACCTAGATGTCAGCTCTTTAGGCCTTTGTGTCACACTCATAAGCTCATATCTGATTTCCTGCCTAGCAGTCCCACAGGATCATCCTAAAGCTAAGGAGTTTTGCCTCACGTTACTTAATACCGATTGAATCCAGAGGTACTGCATCCACAGAAAGAATATTTGCCCTCATGAAACTAGTGAGGAAAAGCTCCTGGATGGGAAGCAATTACCTGGGGGAGAAGAGATCCTAGGATTGACAGGTATCCAGACAGGGCTCTCAGTCTCAACAAATACTTACCTCTGTACTGTTTTCTAGCAACCAAATCTGAGTCCACAGCAAGTTAGAAAACCAGAACAATCTTTTCTTATACTGACTTCCTCCCTCTCCACTCTGCTGTCTGGAGAGCAAGCTTCAGATTTCATCTAAGCAGCCTCTTGTGAAACATAAACGCACGTGCACAGACTCTCTGTTGTGCTTGTGGCAAATTGCACAGCGTGGCTGCCCCGCCCCGCCCCCGGAGCAGCACCCCTGGAAGCTGCCTCACGCTGGGGTGAGGTGGGGCTGTCCTTCCTTCCCGGGTACCACCATTCAGTTTGCCCTTCTCGATGGAGCTGAGCGATGTCCTGGGTCCTGGCATTAGCCGGAAGCGTATCTGATGTCCTGTACAGTGTTCTGGAGGGAGGCTGGATTATAATACATTTCCTGGTTCTTTTCTCTTAGTTATAATGGCTTCCATGATTGAGATGCCTTCTTGAGTAAGTCTTCTCTGCTCCTCACCTCCTGTCCTGGATAGTATGGGACAGGACTATTTTTCTTATGCCCCTACGTCCCTCCCACTTCCTCTGCTATCCTGGGCTGCTCCCAGCTTGGTAGCCACTTCTGAAGGCCCAGAAACAGCAGCTGAGGGGCCATTTTTGCTGCCATGTAGTAGGCTAAGCCTCTGCCTGTGGCGCTGGCATCCCACATGGGTGCCGGTTCAAGTCCTGGCTGCTCCTCTTTTGATCCAGCTCTCTGCTGTGGCCTGGGAAAGCAGTGGAAGATGGCCAAAGTGCTTGGGCCCCTGCACCTGCATGGGAGACCTGGAAGAAGCTCCTAGCTCTGGGCTTCAGATTAGCTCAGCTCTGCTGGCTGCAGCCATTTGGGGAGAGAA